ACCAGGGGTTGCTGTGATTTTCAGGATAATTTAAAGATAAGGCAGCAGGTCAAGAAAATGAAACGTTAAAGAGGTTAACAAAGAAATGACAGAATATTTTCCTTCCCAGCATAAATGAAAGAAGACAGACACATGCATGCACATGAGGATGCATGGCAAATAACTCTCTTCTCTTTCTCTCTCTCTCAAAAAGAATTAAGGCATGAAATTAACAGAAAACCTATAGTTGTTCAGGATAATTTCTAAATGGAAAGATGGCCTTAGATGACTCTGTATAAGATGAAAAGAATTTCAGGCATCAGGGATAGAAAAGGACTTGTAGGCCACATCTCTCACAGAACAGACTCAATACACAACTGATAAGTAACATCAAGTTCATTTCAAGTGGAGACCAAACACAGTGGTTTCACCTTCCGATTCTGTTACCAACACTAATCTCAGAGTACCTTCTGCAAAATCATTCCTTATATGAACACCTCTTCAATAAAGTCTCAACTTGTCAAGCGGGTGAGGACATCAAAGGATCTTCTAGCCTGGGATTCTAGAAAAACTACCTTTGAAGCACAGTTCTTTTGGTAAAGTAACATACTAAAAACAGCTAAATCATATTGATGTTCTTATATAAATTGCTCTCATTTGATTCTCCAGCCCAGCCTGATACAGATGAAAAGGTGGTTAGCTAAATGTGCTGCTAAACTTATACTGCTGACGGATTGCTCAGGAGGAAGGACAGGGACCTGCAAATATAAGTTCAGCACAGTTCTCCTAGGTGGCAGGTCAGGAGACTGACCAGGAAATGGACGCTAAAGCCTTTGGAATGACAGAGGGTCACATCCGAGAGACAATACTATTTTGAGACTTCCTGTATGACTGCTGACCACATGCTTCAATAGCTGTTAAGCATTGAGACTTTACAAGAAGCTAATGATAGCAAGGAAGTGAGGAAGATTTAGTTGCTGGAAAACAGGCAGGGTAATGCTGTTAAGATGGTATAGAGCTCATGAAATAGCAAGGTTAAAACAAAAAGGGAAAGGACAGTTTCTCTGAACAGGAAAACAATAAACACAGTGTGTTTTCCTCAAAGGAGATAGAATGAGACAAAAGCAGGAAATGCTGTCCTTCCTTCATCCTGCTACATTTTCAATGGAAAGTCAAGTATGTGCATCAATCATGATAAGAGAGAAGAGACCAAAGTGATACCATCTTCCCTTTTTCAAAAGGAAAACAAAGAGATGCATCACATAACATTTCGTTCCTCATTTTGTTCTTTCAGAGTCCAGTGCATGCCACACCTAGAAGTAATTCCCACTGAAATAGTCCTGTCCATGCAAACATGACCTCTCTTTAAACTTTCAGTATAGTTCTTGCTTCTTGGTATTCACATCAGGCATTTGGGCTGAAAAAAAAAAAGTACTATTCTTTATTTATCCAACACAAAGATTTTGGGTCCACATGAGTTAGGTACTTATAATTCTCAAAGGCACTGCCTCCTTTTTTTTTTTTTTCTGTGATTACAGAAAGTATTCCTCAAATTTCTACAGTGGACAGTCAAATATTTTTGAGTGTAGATACAGTCCAGAAAGTTCTAAGAGAATGAATACTAATCACATGCTTTTCATTTTTTTGAAACTAAAAACAAGGAGTACAAATAAGTTATTTGTATTCATAATATCATACTTGCACAATTAATTTAATGACTCCCTGGTGGGCTCAGCCTATGAGGTCATTTCTGGGATAGAAATCAAAATTTACGAAATTTTATTAAAGAAAAGTGAAATAATATACGCAGGCTGCCTCACTTACAAAAGGTAAAAGTGGTAGGTTATAAAAAAATTTGCTTGACATTCAGTATTTTGGATCCCAGAATAGATTTTTTAAAATTAAATAAAGAAAACAATTGTTCAAAAAATAGTAATTATTCCTAGGGAAGTCTGTATAAATCTATTCACTTCATAATATATCTAAAGGATAGTATTATGTTCACATTACAGTGACAGTGGTAACATTCTAGAAAAAAATAATTATAGCTAGTGGTATTAAAAACTTATAATTAGCCACAGATGATAAGAGCTTTACATGTATTTTTTCTTTTAATCCTTACAACAAATTTATATTCCTTATATAGATTAGGAAGCTGAGCCTCAGAATGATTTTGTGTCCTGCTCTCAATCACACAGCTAAATGGTAGATATAGAAGTTGAGGTCTAGGAGTTGAAGTCCAGTGACAACTTTAAATGTTAGGTGACCTGGGCCTGTAGTCCCAGCTCAATGTGGGAGACTGGATGGATTTTTCAATTACACCACTCCTTTGCTTACTCACTGCAAAATTAGTTGGACTTACTGATTTTTACAACTCCCTTTAGTGTAAAAATTCTATTATTCCATTGGCTAACTTCTAGATATACTTGTCTTTGATAGAAAATGCATTTAGAATAACAACCTAGAACAAGATCGATCAGCATCCCTCCCCCTTTACCTGGGGGAGTGAGAAGAAGAAATTAGCTATGGAGTCAGGAATTCTAGAGATCATACAAGAGAACTGTCAGAACCACCAGATGTGGACCTGGGGGCTCCTGAGGGTTTACATTAGAACTCTGTCCTTAGGTTCTCTTGCATGTGTAAGGGCTGGCTGAAATGTTTCTCTTTCTATGAAGGGCTTTGTTCCTTTCAGAAACATAGTTCAACAGAATGAACAGTCAAAACTTCTTTCCTTTCTCTCCTATCTCTGAAATAAAGACACAATCCCACTGAGGTTTTCTCTTGAGTTTTTATCTTTAGTAAACAAAGGTCTGAATAAGAAGTGAAAGGACTTCCTACTCTATGTACAAGCTGCGCCCTTTCTTATCATTTCTTTTCACTTTCACCCTGGTAGAAAAGGCCCAAGGTCTTTGAATAAACAAAGTTGAAAGAAAAACCATCTGTAATTCAGAGGAAAAAAACAGAGGACTTAAGCTTCTGCAGCATTTCTTGGGAAGAGAAAGGAGCTTGAGCAAGATGAGATTCTGCCTTCCAAAATGGTTGGGTGCAGAGAAAACAAGAAGAGGAAAGGAGCTGGGTTCCCTGGTGCACGCCTGTAATCCTGGCAGCTCAGGAGGCGGAGGCAGGGGGATTGTGAGTTCAAAGTCAGCCTCAGCAAAAGTGAGGTGCTAAGCAACTCGGTGAGTCCCTGTCTCTAAACAAAATACAAAATAGGGCTGGTCATGTGGTTCAGTGGTCAAGTGCCCCTGAGTTCAATCCCTAGTTCCCAAAAAAAGAAGAGAAAAGGAGGTGAATAGTTTGTCTTTATGACTTACACCACTCACTCTTCTTGCTTTCTGTTTGACTACAGTTCTTCCCAGCACATACAGTGCGGCAAGGGGGACGATGAACAAGAGCATGGGAAAGACAGGGAAGGAGCAACGGAATCCAAGTACAGATTGATATCTTAGAGGTTGTTTAGACTTATTTAACTTTCCTGATGGGAGAATGTTTATTATAGAGCACTCTTGACAGATGGTAAGGCAGGCCATGTTTGAATATTCTAAGTAACACTTTTTGTTCTTATACAGTCTGATAGTTGGAAAGTTCTTACAACATTATCTCCTTCCAGCCATTTGCTTTGGGACAAGTTCAAAGAGAGTAGGAAAAGAGTCTTCATTATTTTTGCATGCCCCAAATCTCTAACTTTGCACCAACCAGATACACTGTTTGTTACATATTTGGTGAAAATTATCATGCCTTCTAAACTTTCTCTTCTTTAAGCTAAATAGACTCATTAACTCTCCCAAGGAACCTTCACTGTTCTGATGATCTGACTCTGTTATCTATATGTGCCTTTGTCATCTCTTACACAGATTCAAAGAAAATAAAAATTTAAAAAACAGGGAGTAATTTAAAGTCCCTTTATCCCATCTGCTTTCCTTTGTTGTTAGCCACAAAACCCCTTTTGAATTTTCTATAGCCTTCTTTAAAAAAAATGGTATTTCAATAAATAAACAATATGAATTCATTGTAATACATATACAAGAAAGTTAAAATTTCTCATAGCCTCAGCATTTGGGGTACATCTCTTCCCAATTATTTTGTTTCAGTTTTTAATGTAATTGGATCATTCTGCATGTATAATTATATAGAATTTTATTTTTTACTTAATATTATTCCATATTTTCTCATGCCATTAATAACTCCTCACTGAGCCCATTTTAAGTTTATCATATTTCATTGGAGAAATATCTAGTTATTTATCTAACCAATACCTTATGGCTATATAGCACCAAATATATCACTATTTTATATAGGACTTTGGGGAAAAAAATCAATGTACATGAATTTTTTCCATATCTTTGATCATCAATTCAGGACAGATTACTAAAAGTGTAGTTTCTAGGTCAAAGGGTATACATTTTTATGAAGACTTAAAATTTTCTTCCTCAAGATGCCTTTTCCAGTCCTTGAGACCTGTAATGTTAATCTTAACATGCTATGGTTCTCCTTCTTAATTTTCATTTCCATTTTGAAGACTGGCTTCTGTTTCTGTTTCTTTTTAGACTGGATACTCCATGAAAGAGGGGCAAGGAACTATTTTTCTGTTTTATGTAGGTCTTAGCCTGCAGCATATACTCCATATATATTTTATTTAATTAGTCGAATTTTGTTGAATAGTTATCAATAAACGTGTTTGAATCTGTATATCCAAAGCATTGTTTACATGTACCCAATTCCTTGCAGCAATGCCTAAAAAAATGTAATACTCCAAAGGAATAAATACTCAAATCCAACTTTGGTATAAATGTAATCCCAGCAGCTCAGGAGGCTAAGGCAGGGGGATTGTGAGTTCAAAGTCAGCCTCAGAAAAAGTGAGGCACTAAACAACTCAGTGACACCCCGTCTCTAAATAAAATACAAAATAGGGCTGGTAAAATGGCTCAGTGGTCAAGAACTAGGTAGTAAGCTACTGTGAATTCGATGAGTGTGTTAAGATCTTCACTGAAAATTCAGTGAGACTGAGCTCTGAACATTACCAGTTCTCGGGGCAGAAAATTTCCTTCTTGGCGAGCGATGACCAGAGAGGCTGTCTCTCCCTGCTTGGTGCTCCTTAGCATAGCCACAAGCTCTTCCTGAGTTCGTCCAGTGACATCTCTGCCATTTACCTAATGAATAAAATCATATGAATAGTCACAATTACATTTTCTGACCATCATTATTATGATGCTGAACAAACTCAGTCAGTCATTAGTAACAGCAATTTTTTCTAAGCCATCACATTCTTCGGAGGGGAAAATCAAATTGACAGGTACCAGAGATTGATTTGTCAATTAGGTGGAAAGTAGATTTCAAATGCTTGCTTGGCACCATTTTTTACCCAATAGAACAAGAAGAAATGAACTATTACTACATGGCAAATTCCTCTGGCAATATGAGTATTTCTTTTTATATAATTCTAAAATGCTCTCATGTCCAGAAAATTATAGTCAGAAGATTGTCATAAGTTATTGGAAATTCTAATTTGGAGCTATGTTAGTCATTTGGTGCATCTTCCTCATGATCTAGAACTACATGAAAAGCTAGTCTTGATTTCATGCCCTAAAAGAGTGAAAATAAACCAGCCAGTTTTACTAAAGATGATTTCTTAAGAGGTAAATACATCAGCAACATAAGATTAACAAGAATATGATGCTACTAAAAAATGAATGAAAAAAAAAAGACTTTCAGATATTCCAAATAATTATCTATGTTAAAACCCATTTAGCTGTTTCTATTACTAGCTGTGTATACCAGGTTATGAAAATTTGGACAATGCATAGTTCAACCTGAGAAACACCCCACCCCTTAAAAGTTAAAAAAAAAAAAAAAAAAAAAACACTGTTGCAAAGGCTTGGGTGTGACTGAAATTCCTTTGACCTCACTGAATATATGATGAACTGTTGGAGTTAATGCAAATTCTCCAAGAACCCTAAGAAGTAAGAAAGAGAAGATATGGAAAAGTCTTCGTTATTATTTGACCCCATATCACTGATCTCACTGGGGACTTAACATTAAGTTAGGCTACTCATTAACTAGTTTCATAATTAGAGTCCTTATCTTGTCTATAAGTAATAAATTTTAATATATTTTATATTCAAAATGAAATGCTAGTGTACAGTTAGCCTTCCATATCCATGGATTTCATTAGAATCTATGGATTCAATGAATCTCCGATTAAAAAAAAAATTTAAAAATCTCTCTTACATGAGAATGGGAAGTTATATTCCATGTATGTATAATATGTCAAAATATATTCTACCGTCATGTAAAAAGAGAACAAATTAAAAAAAAAAAACTTTAAAAATTCCTTGTATATGCATTGAACATGTACAGATTTTTAAATGCCATTATTCCTTAAAAAATATAGTATAATTGTCATTTTCACAGCTTTTATATGGCATTAGGTATTATAAGTTATCTAGAAATGATTTAACATATACAGGAGGGTGGTGTCCAGATTATGAGCCATTTTACATAAAGGATCTGAGCATCTGCAGAATGTAGTAATCTTGCGGAGTGGTCTTGAAACCAATCTGCCAGGGATACTGTGAGAGACAGCTGTATATGTTCATGTATTTATTTATTTACTAATATTTTATCAAAGTTATTAATTTAAATCCTTACCTCCAAAATTCTGTCTCCTGACTGTAGCCGGCCATCTTTTATTGCTGCTCCCTTTGGCAAAATATTTTTTACGAAAATGGGACCAGGACCATGTATGGAAGAATCTCTGGTAACCACAGTGAAACCAAGTCCTTCAGGGCCTAGCGTATAAGACCAGAAAAGTGAACAGTCACTTTCAGCATACATAATATTATATTCGATCTTACAGTAAAAATCTACCTAATTTAGACTAAGAATAAGTAAAATATTTACATTCCAGAAGGTTTAAAATATGCTTCAGTTCCTCTGGTTTCAAATAAAATTATGGTTTCTGACAGGCCATGATGGTATCAAAGTGAATATGGCGCCCTATATATCTGTGCTACACTTCTGTTTATTCAGGTTTTGGAAGAAATGCACATATTATCCATATGCCTGAGATGGGTTCCTCAGTAAACCATAACCTGACTGCATAATTTCCTGGGAAGGAAAGGGCGACTTGACCTGAATTTTGTCAGTTTCTGTCAGCTGGCTCATCTGTGGCTCACCCGTCTGTTTGTATCCTGAACCTGTACAAGCCAACGTCTCATGTCCTGTCAGCAAGAAACCTGATGCACCTCCTTATTCTCTCACATCTCTAATTTCTCCCTTCCAGTGTATTTTTCACTCTCTGAGGGATGATCAGCTGTCTCTGCCATAAAGAACTGTTACTTCAATTGCATTCTTCTCCAAGCTTCCATCACCAATGTTCCACCACTAGGGATAGGATAAATGTCCTCCACAGTCCTGCGTGTAAGAGGCTTGGTCCCTAGGTTATGCCACTGTTGGGAGGAGGTTAGACACAGTGGAAAGAAGTTAAATCATTAGTGGTTTGCTCTAGCAGTGGGTACTGGGACTCTGTCCCCTTCTCTTTCTCTCTCTTTGCTTCCTGGCTAACATGAAATAAGAAGCTTGCTCCATGACATATTCCCATCATAATATACTGCTGTCACAGACTCAAAAGCACCTGAACCATCAACCATGGACTGAAACCTTCAGAACTGTAAGCCTAAATAAACCTTTCCTCTTTTTAAGTTTGTTATCTCAGGTATTTTATTATAGTAATAAAAAGCTAACCAACACATCGACCAATGACAATACCCAATAATTCTTCCTATTATCAATTTAATTTAGCCTTGACACTTCCCACCAATTGTTTTCTGAAATTAATTCCCCTTGGTTTTAATGTTCTTATTTTCTGATTATTATCCTACCTCTGTGATCATATAACATCTGTCACTAGTACATACACTTGTCTTCCCACATGAACACAAATGTTTCCCAAGGCTCTATTTTGGATGAATTTGTCCCATGGCTTTGGTCAGCTACTGGATCCTATATTATCTCCCTATAGGAAAGACTAAGATCCCCTTGGCCCTAATCTCTCCTTTTGATATCAGTTTTCTAGATATCACTATATGCATTTCAAACTTCACTATGTACTTCCTTCTCTAATTCAGATTCTGATCTTTTCCAATAGCCTCACCTACTTAAAATTCTAGTTTCTATCAATGACATCTCCATTATGCAAGTTGCCCTGAGAACCTCAGCAATGATTATAATTTCTCTTCCTTCCTTCCTAGAGTCTTTCATCTACTAAGGAATGTGTATTATATTTCTGCATTTAGACACAGGCAACACATCCTGTACTGACCTTTATTGTCTGTTTTTTTCATTAGTATATCTATTTGATTCTAGATTAATCTTCCCAAAGTATACCTGTGATGTCATATTCTTTATTTTTACATTCAAGTCTTTCTTATAGATTTTTTTTAATATTTATTTTTTTCAGTTTTCGGTGGACACAACATCTTTTTTTTTTAATGTTTTATTTTTATGTGGTGCTAAGGATCGAACCCAGCGCCTCATGCATGCCAGGCGAGCGTGTTACCGCTTGAGCCACATCCCCAGCCCTCTTATAGATTTTTAAAGTGATTCTATGACTCATATTTATGTCCTCAAAGAACCTAACTTCACATATTACGCATAGCTGGATTATTTGTACATAGACTTCAACAGATGCATTTAAATAAAAAAGCTTAATTGCTGAGCAATTAAGGATCTATGCTTCTTATTCAATACATTTTATTTCCAGTAGAGGATTCTTATAAGTGAATAAAATTTTTATCAGAGACTCTTTTAAGAACAACTAAAGATACATATTTTGAAATACACTTTTAGGTATTCTAAAATTACCTTGTAACCACTAAATTATCTATTAATTCAGTAAAGAATCTATGAGATCTTGGTTCTTTATGAATTGTCTTGAAAAACATAGGATTTTAGAAGGTTGTAATGGGGAAAGGGAATATTAGACAAAGGTTACAAAATGAACAAGAAACATAATAGCCCATGAACACCTTATGTGTGCATATGTGTAATAGTATTTCATAAGTACACATGTGTGTACATGATCTAGTCTCACTGATTTGTGCTTGTAATGGATAGAAAAATTTAAAAGAATGAAGAAAGATTATACATGTGCTCAAAATTAGGTATGTTTTAAAACAGTGTTTGTAATGCTAAATCAGTGAAATTAATAATCATATATTTGCTTTCTGAAGAGTCAATTTTTTGCTTATATAAAATTGTTCTAGGGAAACAGAGACTATATCTTTGTTGGACTTGTCCTAAAGGATGCTTTAAAACATTACTAATTGTGCTTGAAACTGGGACAACTGGATTTTAGTTCCTATTTAGTGTTAAGTTAGAATACAGTATTGCTTGGCCTCAATCAAGTTTGCAACGATTCTTTCCACTCTCCAATGTGTTTTTATTGTTTCCTTGTTTCAAATAATCTATACTCTGTAGAAGAGAAGAAAGTATTACAATTTCAAGAAATTTAAGTTACCTAAGTATACACTTAAATCTATTCTTTGATACAATTAAATAAAGGGAGAATTAACTAAATTAGGCTTAATGCATTTCTCTTAACCAATTTTACATGTTACAATAATAGAATGCTATTAAGCATAATTTAATAATTACCTTTCTTTAGGTCAATCTTAATTTTCTTTGCATTTTTCTTGCTGCCAAACCCCATGAGAGGGGAGAGCGAGGGAGATGAAGATTTTCTCCCTAGTCTTGGTACTCGGGGACTCTTGTTTTGTTGCAGAGAAGGTGATGCATCTGCTTCAGGACTATTTGTTCCAGTGAGATTTACTGTCTTTACTCCAGATTTCCCATGGACAGGAGGAGGTGCTTTTGTTCTCAAAACTCCATCATTGCTACTAAAAATGTTAAGAGGTCCAATGACTGATTTTTCATACTGCTCACGGTTTTGAGGTGGAAGCACGTGGAGGAGCACATCTGGGGATTTCATTGCCTGGCGGAAGACATCTTGTGCCCTTGAAAAAGTCAGTAAATGTGTCATGATACAGTGGCTAGCAGCTGCCTTCCACAGTACTCCAGCACAGAGGCAACCAGGCTCCGCACAGGAGCTCAGGCACAAGACACTGTCCACATTACTACCAGTATGACTGTGCTACCTAAACATCAGAGTTTACCACTAACTACCTGCCCACTGGGCTACACGTGCAGGACGACCATGCATAATGTTCTCATTGACTCTTCTTTACAACCACCAAGGTATATATAATTAATTCTCATTTTGCAAACCCAAATTGAGGCTCAGAGAGACTAAGTAACTTATCCAATGACCCATATTTTTTTAAAGTGTTTCTAAATCTGAAAGTCTAACCAGCATTAATTACTGAAGAACATATAAAAAGGCAAACTTTAATTTTAAGTGAAAAAAAATAATTTGGTATTTTTGATCAGATAATTAATAGGTTATTTTTTGCTTGATTGCGAATCAATTTCTCCTCCATAATAACTCCAGACTGAATTTTTTTTTGACCTTTGTTTTCCATTTCTATAAAACAGGGATGATAATGTCTGTCTTGCATACCTATCAAGTCCTTGAAAATGCATTGTGGCATATCAAACAATACCATTATTAATAATTATTATAATATTATCTATCATTTTGTTGAACAAAATGGAGTGTTTTAAGGCTTCATTTCTTTCACCATTTAAGCAGTTGATGACTAATTTCCCCCAAGCACCCCCCCATCTCTCTCTCTTCCTCCCTCTCTCTCTCCCTCTCTCTCACACACACCCACACCCACACACCGACACACACACACACAGTGTTGAGAACTAATGCCCAGAGAAAAGATATATTATGAACAGTTGGGTCAGAAACAAGAGAGGTTGCTTACTATTACTATGGAGTATCAGTACTGATTTCCTCATGAAATCTCAGCACAATACCAACATATATTTAAAAACATATATGTAGTATCAGAGTGCTATATATTCTTATTGTAGTGGACAGGAAATTATTCCCATAAAATTTTCACATTTGGAGAGATGACTTCTTGAGAGAGAGTATTTTAATTTTTGTTAGTTGCTTATATTATTCACTGAATCCTCATAGACATTTCTCACAGATTCTTTGGTTTAAGGCAGACGGCTTACATCAAGCCAGTTAATTAATAAGCTGAACTAACAGTCTGTGAAAAGAGCTATTAAATATCAATCTAACTGACCCACATCCCAAGAAAAACAAACCCCTTCATCAATGCCCCAGCAAGACAACCAAGCAGGAAAACTTCCTCTATTCTGTGGCTTAATGTTCCTGGAGATGTCTGGGACACAGGTGGGCCACCTTTGAGTGTGCTAAGACATAAAACACATTCCAAAATGGATGTCCAGAGGTCATTTAAAGGGAAATGACCAGAAATTCTACCTCTGATTTTGATCATAATGAGTTCAGTAATGATTATAACCATTCTAGGGGGATGATAAAGCAAATAAAACAATGGAAAAATGCTTACTGAGCAAAAGTTTTGTCTACCAGATCCACATTGTTGATTTTTACAATACATTCATTTTCGTGAAAGAGTCCCTCCCGTTTGCACCTGCTGTTTTCTTCAATGCCTCGGATGAAGAGTCCTAGGATCCTAAATGCAAAATTTAGGTTGAAATAGAATTACTGAATAACAATATGCTAATTATTTCTCCACTTGCAACTATTCAGAAATTAGTATTGATTTCTATTTATGAAATAAATTATGCTTTCTATTCAGGCAATTGTTATTTAAATCCTTCATCCAAAACCACGTACACACATAAACTCAGTAAAAGAAAAGGCCCTTCAAGGCAAATATACATAAACATCAATTCAGAGAACATTAATCTAGGACCCCATTTCTCGTGCTTGTGGCAAACTTAGAAAGGCCAATATAGCTCAGTGGAGTTGAGGACAGCAAAGACTTGTGGTTTGGGGAAGCGCATCACAATTGACCATAAGGAGTAAGCCCAACTTAACGCTGAGATTGGCAGCATGATGCTATGTAATGGGAGAGAATTAGGAATTCATGGTGGGTTTTTGCAATTTTACTGCGTCTTCCACTAATTTGCATTTTTAAGAAGTAAACAAATGTTTAAGCTTAGATCCTATTACTCTAAAGGAAGATCAGCCCATTGGTTACTATAGTGAACCAAATAGGCATTTGGTGTTTTCTCTGTTCTCAAGATGGAGTATGAGATAAGGTTGTAGAGCAGGGCCAGGTGAATTGGTGAATATCTTAGAGTCCAATAGAAGTGGAGATATTGATAAACTCAGAGGCAACATAGGGTTTGAGAGTTAACACTGGATGGGAGGCCAGTGTGACCTACAGGGGCTTTGAATGGACCTAATCTGATGGAGTTGGTATGGAACACCCACCACCCACTGTTTGCTTTGAAAGGGAGAGTAGTCTGAAGTTTCAAAAGGGAAGAGGCGAGATTTAGAGAGGATACCTAGAACTCCTGGGACTTTGTGTTTCTGACTAAGAGTCAGAAGGGGAATGGGTAGAAAAGAAGGAAAGGAAGAAGAAAACTATAGCAATAAGAATTACATTTTATATGTAATTGTCCCTTGCTATTCATGGGGGTTTGGTTTCAGGATCATCATCCTTGGACACCAAAATCTGTAAGTCTCTTATATACAATGGCAAAGTATTTGCATTCTCCTGTAATTAAATCACTCTAGATGCCTTAGAATTCATACAATTAACTGTTGTACTGTACTGTTTAGGCAATAATGGCAAGAAGAAAAGTCTGTACCTGTTTAGTACAGATGTACTTTAATTTCTCCAAATATTTTTGATCCACAGGGAATCTGCTGTGGATGAGGAACCTATAGATAAAGAGGGCCGACTGTACTTGGTTACGTGTATAAAACCCAAACTAAAACCAATAACGAGAAATTTTACTATTAATCATTTGGGAGATATTCCTTCCTTGGTGGTATAGAGGGTCTTAGTTGCATCCTACAGTCAGAAAGACCGATCTATCCTCTAAGAGGATTCTCCTGGCTGTGGAAAACCTGCCACTTCCATGTGCCTTGTTCCTGCTTTCCTACTCAGTCACTCTCTTTTGTATAGGACCCTGTGTGCTATTACATAGTCCCTTTGCATTAAATTTCAAATCTAAATAAAATATGAGCACATTTTATGTGTGAATAATAGGGTCAGCCATGGAAAAAGGGCAGCCTATAATGAAAGTCCAGGAGAAAGCAATCCTCCTGCTTGGAGTAGCCACAGAGCTGAGCCTCTGCCTCCAGGCCTCCATTCATTTAACGAGCTCATATCATCTCAAGACGTCAAAAGGCAAGGCACATGCAGTGATATTTAAGTCTTCAAAAATGTTAAATGAATACAGTATGCTGCTGCAGGAAAGAACAGCAAATAGTCACACCACCTACCGCAAGGCAGACCCAGGGTCACAGGGACCAGTATGGGGCCGGGGTGTGTGCTTCATTTCCTAGTTCCAGCAGGTTTGTAAATTAAACATATTCTGTGTTACCATCATAATATTAAAAATTGAACTATTGGATGTGTAAAAATGAAGAAACAGATCATAATTGTTTTTTCCCCTAAATTAAACAAACCTTCTAGTTCACATTTTGGATTTTTGTTATGGTGGATTCACAATAACATGATCCATTAGGAGGCTCACATGTGGTTATAAACTAGTTTATGTAAGTGAGATTTTTTTTTAACAAGCATTCAAGTCTTCCTTTAATTTAATTCAGTACATCATCAGTCATGTAATGTTACTCCCTAGGATTTAATCTCACATTTTGGGAGATGAATTAATTCTTTCAGGCCACTGGGTTGCAATTTAGCTAGCATATTACAGCTGGAGTGTGCTATGTGAACCTCACTGATCTAAATAACCTAACTTTCCATGAAAAATTTATTGACAGAATAAGCCCCACTGTAAAACCCATGTGTCAGAGGTAATTTCGGTAAAACGTAAAGCGGACTGATTTTTATTAGTTTGGTCCCTGGCAACAAAATACTCCTGCCCTTTCTATTCCATGGAAGGGGTAGATTCCCTCCACTATGATGTCATCCAGACCCACTACGAGAAGGCTCAGAAAATCATGGCTCATTACCCTCCACGCTCCAGACTGGTGGGCTGTGGTAGCTGTCTCATTTGGGATCAAGACTCACAGGATTTAAAGATTAACGCTGTCGAGGAATTATAGGCTGAGACTAACCAGTTAATTTGCATTAATGAGCAGTGATCAAGGATGCTGAAATCCACAGCCCCACAGAATTAAAAAAGTAACAATTGCTTCTTGCTCATCAAATAATCATGTAGGCACCACCATTTTCTCCCTGCCCCTCTCCTGCCCTTCCACTGTATCCCAAGGCCTCACCACCCTACCAGTTTAGCATTCTGTCTGAATGTCTTCTCTTCTCCCCTCTTCCCCATCACTCCTCCTCCTCATTCATCTTTAGGTACCTTTACTGTAAAATGGAGTTTATTGTGTCATCTTTCTTGAAAAAAAATAGATTTCATGTTTTTAACTCTAAAAAAAAAATAGCACAGATTTTTTTTTTTTAAACAAATGAAGTTAAATTGCTCTTTTCTTGCAAGGATTTAGTGCTGCTTTGTGTTTGTTTTGTTTTTCTATTGAGAAGGCAAATGGCCCTCAAGTCAAGCAGCAATAAACATCCCTGTGCTAAGGTATTAAAACAGGTTCATGGAGACTTTGGTACAATAGCTAAGATATTTTAGCTAGTTCTAACTTAGGTTTCGTATTCAACAACAGGTGTGACAGTAGTTTTTCTAAATGAAAAAGAAAATACTTTGGAGGCAAAGCCAATTACAGTAGTCTTAATAAAGAATTAAATGTAAATTCTAATTTAAAATAATGACACAAGCCAATAAATGGAAGGAAATTAAGAGCTAAGTCTGCCACTATGACCTTAACGAAGCCCCTGTGCTCACACAGTGAAACCATATGGCATTATGAAGTCAGACACTTGTCTGACATGCTCTACACGCAGTGGCATCTAGACACATGGGTTGAGTTAAGTGTGCTATTTCAGCCTGCACTCATTACTTCTTAAATTTTATTGGCTCATGTCTCCACTTCCATATTATTTTTAATGTTTTTTAATTAAATTTCCTTTCTATAATACTAGTGGATAGCAAAAAATAATAGAACTATTTCTCTAACTTACTAAACAGTTGACCATGAACTTATAATGAATCAAGCTTTTTTATTTTAGCCAAAACAATCAAAATACTGATTGATAATTTATGCATTCATACATTGTGGGTTTTACAAGAAGCTTTCACATTTTTAAAAGTGATTTAGTCCCCATAACCTTGATGTGAAGTAGGTATTCACAAGAGACAAGTTTGGGGGACTTTGTTGAAGGTCATATAAAATGAACACTGGGATTAATTCCAATTCTTCTGAATCCAACTGCAATACTCTTTCTAGTATTCTACCAGGCTTATGCTAGGAATCATAACCAGAAAGGAGAAGGGAGGAAATCGATACATTCTAGTATGTTTTCCTTATTTGAAGTGAGAGAGGTGATTTTTTTTTCTTTTGTCTGTAAGGCCAGCTTGTTTTACAAACTATTGGAAATGAAGTATGGTGACTGTCACATTGTATATTTTCTCATTTTTGGAAATTGGGAAGATCTTGAGTTCTATTCCAGCTTCATTAAACTAAAGGGCCTGGTAATTTAAGCACTCTGGTGTTTTCACAAGACTCAATGAGTACCCTTCTGCCAGAAGCCATTAGAATTTCTCATTTCATGAGAAATGAGTAAATACCCACCCTGTCTATCAAAAACAACCTCAGTTTGTCCTGTGCCACAACCCATAACATTTATAAGCATACTTATTAACACATACAGGAAACTAGACAGTAAGAGCCACTAGCTTTCTGGTTCACTTCTTTTGAGGAAACATTCATTCCAGCAAGAGATTGACATCAGATGTTATTTGCAAAAAGGAAAAAAGGGTGATGACTTTGCAATTACAGGTAGCAGATGGTTACCTGCTGAATATGGTGCCAACCAAAATATCATGACTGAGTCTGTTTTTCCTGCTAGAGGGCAGACAGAATGGAGTAAACATTCAGGACTAGTAAATTAATACTACATAATCTTTTGGGAAAATTTAGTTCTAGAGAGAGCAATGGAGTAAGGATGAGTAAGAAGATCTGGATTTTGTGTGAAAAGAAGTGGACCCTCCTTGTGGCTGACATCCCAAGCTAAAATAAATCATTCTACCTTTTGATGGTACATTCAAGAAAATCCATTTAGTAAAGTCATTAAAACATCATGTAACCAAGAAACTTATTTTCATTTAAGTTTCTGGCAATCATTGTCAAATTAATCTTGTGCTAAAGGCGGTCATCTTATTGGAAAGTGACATAATATAGGAAACTAGGTCCATAAGTGATAATATTAGGTCCAGGGCATACACTTTCATTTCTGTCAACAAAACAAATTTTATATTCAGTTAGATAGATGTGGCTTCCAAGAAATGCTGACAGGCTCTAAACTGCCATTTACCAGTATGGTCTTAGTAATATAATGTATTTGAAATTCTGAAAGAATGTAGTAAATTATTTTTAATGTTCTAAATGTTATTTTAGAAAAAAATAAATAGCAGGATGTCATTTTTCTTCTATAGCAAAATCATCATATATATATGATGATTTTGCAATATATATATATATATATATATATACCTATATATGTATGATATCTGATGTAGCTACTAGAATATTGAATGTTTATTATTCTTAGCTCTATATGCCTGAGGAATAGGAGGAAATATAAATTAGAAATTATCTTCACTTGTTGAAGTATATCTTTTAAAATTAAAATTTTTCAATAGCTATATTTGTTTAACAATATATTAAAATCTTTGTCAATGATTCTGTTTACTATGTGCTTCTGACAAGAATATTTTTTAAAAAAGCATTATAATTAATTCAAATAGAGAAATTGCGAGGGACTTTTTTTTTCTTTTTCATTACGTCTTAGAAGTAAATGATTTAGTTTTGCCTCTAATGCATCTGAGGCTAACAAATATATATATTGAGGTGTTTATGTGAATAACAGAAATTCACACTTGGTCCTTTTCTGAAGAATGACTGGAAAAGTGGGCTCCTCAGGGTTTCCATTAATTAGTGTGAGCTTCTGAAACCAGGAAATCATCTTACCTTCCACTCAGAGATGAAAAGAAGGGCACCACATGTATTCCCAAGGGGCCTCCTTCCCCAGAAATCTCCACCGTTCTTGTCATATCACTGGGGCAGGAAAACACAGAAGCACGGATGAATCTCTGCTGAAAACCAGATGAGGCACTTCAACCCCTGCCCCCGCCCCCCAGGACGATAGCAACTACTGTACCAGTCCAGGCAAAGCCAAAGGAGTACATGATTTCCAGGTATGTTCAGAAGATTCATTAAAAAAATTTAAAAGACTGTGATTTCTTATTTTTACCACTAGAAGAGGAACAATCGAAATGACAAAAATAACTTCCCATTTAATCTGCATCAATCAACATATTTAAAAAGTGATACACAAAAATGAAATTTCTCTCCAATGAGACTCACTTGAAAATTACTGTAAAACACATGGAAGTAAATGTATATCTATGCTTAAGCAAAAAGTTAGCTCCCCTGCAAAAACAGAGTAAAAATGAAATAAAATATTTATTAGAAAAAGCACAGAATTACATTTTATAATGACTGTGAAGCTACTGTTGATAATACATTTGGGCATGTTTAAAGAAACATAAATCAAAACATAAACTTGTATCAGCTGTATTCAATGAAACAATTCCAAATTTTCACATGCTGGTTTATTTATTTATTTTTTTAAGGTAGAAAAAGAGGTTGCAAAAACCTGGAGAAAATGTATTATAGAAAGAAATAGAAAAGCTGACCTGCCTAACCTAGCCCAGATTAAGGAAAGAATGAGCTAGAAACATTAATGGGTAGTGTGTATGACTCAAATATAGAAGGCACTGGGCGCTTTTGAGTAATAAAGACTGGAACTAACAAGTTTTTATAAAGATGAAAAATAATAACTGTGAACAATTATCGGCTCTTTTAATCCCAGAGAGAGAAAATAAAATTGCTAGAGGAAAATGATAAAGTTGAAGCAAACATCCCCTTTATGGAAATTGTAAGCAGGTTTCTATTGTTTTCTATTTACATGAAAATGACCTGAAACTAGATGTCAAATTAAGAGCTACAGCTGCGACAAATGCTTTTCTGTTCCAAATTGAAAATGGTGGAACTCTGGCTCCTTGCTGCAAAGTTGAGAATAACGTTAAGAAAGTAAAATACCTGCTGAATTCACTAAGCCCAAAGTATTCTTTAAATGATCTGAAATCTAAAATAAATACATGAAATATATTCTCATCAATGGATGAGGCCTACTTTTAATGTGTTTTCCTTGCAAGCCTATTATCAGTAAGAACTTCGAAGGAAAAGCATATCAGTTTCCAGCATTTGTGGAAGATGATGGAATTTCAAATCTGATAATAAATTTCTAATGGGTTTTGTCCAGGTATTACTGACATACATAAAAACGTGTTCAGTCAAGCAAGTTATATCAGTTGCCTGGAATAAAAGTTAAAAACAAAACAAATCTTAAGAGTAATATAGGATGAAATGTTTCTTCTTTATATAAGTGATGATATGAATATTTATAGAATATATCTACATGGACAGTCATATACAGGCATACATTTTAAGTCCTGAGTATAAAATGCATGGTGGGCAAAAAAAGTTGTTTAGATTTTAATGGACCAGAGTAATAATTTTTATAGAATAATAGATTTATAGTGCACTTTTAGTCATGTGAAGAAGACTACACCCAAAGCATTTACATTCTAGGCTTAAAAAAGACTAAACTCTTTTTAAAAAATATTTTTTAGTTGTAAATGGAATTTATTTTTATTTATTTATTTATTTATTTATTTGCAGTGCTAAGGATCAAATCCAGGGCCTCACATATGCCAGGCAAGTGTTCTACCACTAAGCCACAACTCTAGCCCAAGATTAAAGTCTTATTTAACCATTAAAACAATATTATCTTGAACTTCATAATGCATTTTTGTAGTTTTACACTGAAAGCATAACAAAAATCTCCCCTGGTAAATGTATCAAGTATCCACATGGTAATACATTGCATCAATATGTAATACATAGAGGTTTTCAAATGTAAATGTTTAGACCAATGTAGTCCCCAAGATTTTACTGCAAGAATTTCTAGGATGGCTTTTATAGATGATGGCATTTATGAATTGTCTTTTTTTCTATTTTACAAATATTTCTTTACCCCTATTCAAAAAAAACAAAAAACAAAAAACAAAAAAACCAAACCAAAACAACAACAACAAAACCCAAAACCCAAACCCAAACCAAACAAATTATTCTCCTGGCTGCAGAAATAGCTCAGTTGGTAGATAGCTTCCCTGGCATGCACAAGGATGTGGGTTCAATCCCCAGCACCCCACAAAAACAAAAAAACCCTCCCATAAAATATGATAAATTCTATGTATCATACTGATACTTACTTCTTCTTCTTCTTTTTTTTTTTTTTTTTTTTTTTTTACTTAGGATTAAATGCAGTAACACTCAACCACTGAGCTATATCTCCAGCCTTTTAAAAAATTTCTTATTTGGAGACAGTCTTTCTAAGTTGCCCAGGCTGCTTTGAACTTGCTATAATTTCCCAAGTATCTGGGGTTACAGGTGTGCAATGCCACACTGGGCACTAATATCTATTTTTAGCAATTGTCAATCCTGTATTTTTACAGTCAGTTAATAAAGTAAATATTATAATTTAATTAAGTAATCAGTCTTGTTTTAAAATGCTAAAATGTTTGGGAGAATGCAATTTTTAAGGTTCATTTTTATTTTATAAAATTCCACTTTTTAATATTTCAGAGTAAACATTTAAATTACTATTACACACAATAATCACCATTCTCTGGCTATAAAGATTTTTGACAACTTAGATTACTATCACAAAAATGTAACAATAGCACTAAAAATATTTGGCTTCCATTTATAGGCTGTAATATGCAAATACTTATAAAAACTTAAGTCTGTTTATTAACAAGCATTGCAATTTTTACATAGATCATGTCTCAGCATATTTCTTTATCAAATACTATCCATTATCTCAAAATGGAAATAATGACATTTGAAAAAGGATTTCTCATAGACAAGTTCAAACATTATATATATATATATATATATATAAAATTTTAAAATAAAAAAATCGCTCCACTCTATTATAAATACTTAATGGAGTTCTATATAAACCTCTGTGTATAGCCACTTCATGGAATGTAAGCACCTCAAGCACAATTGGACAGAATTATTTGAACATATCTCCTAAAGAGTAAGATTTTTACAAAGATGTATAAACAAGTCTATTAATGCTATTTGTTTAGATAAAACCCAAAGTACAGCAGTTCTGGTGAGCAGGGTCTGGTGAGCAGGAAAGGCACATTTTCACTTATATCTTAGAGGAGAGTACAGTCATCAGAATGTAAGTTGCATGGTAGAGTAGGAATAAAAAATGCAGAAAATGAGGTGAAAAGGAAATTCTAGTGGTATTAAAAAAAACAAACAAAAACAGGAACTGTGAGAAACAGACAAAAAAAAATTGAACCATGGATCACGGTAAAGGAAAAACATTTGCTATACAAAGAAGAAAAATAGAATTATTTCACCAAGATCAAAACAAATATTTTTATGCAACTTTTAAGGCAAAGTAAAACAAGCAGATAGTCACAAAGCACTAAGTCAACTAATATTAAGTAAACTAAATGCCCTAAGGTCCACTTGACAAAATTAACTCAATAACTGGGACCAGCAGCAGCCAATCTAAGAGCTCAGGAGCAAGGTACTGGTGAGCTATAGAATTAGTGGATAAAAATCAGCCTGTAGTTATGAATGGCTACTTTGCCAGAGCTAGATGTTAAGTGCTTCAGTTGTTTTCCATCCAGAGAAAAGATATAAAGCTTGAGGCAGAAAATACAATAAAAGTTGCAGATGTTTGTAGGTCTGATTTTTTCACACAATGCAAATGGACATTTGCATTAAGACTACTCAGCTTGGTTTCAGGCTTCTTCCTTGGGTATGGAGGGAAGATTGAGAACAGGAGGGGAAGATGCTTTATTTCAGAAGAAAATTTTTTCCTGGGGTGACTTTAATTCAGGTGTCTAAGCAAGACATTTAAACTAAAGACCAAAGTCTCAGTTTCCTCACTTATATAATGAAGACATTAAGATTAGGGACTTCCCTAACAGAGTTGCTGGTTTTATTTTTTAAATTTTTTATTCTAATTTGTTATATATGACAGCAGAATGCATTACAATTCATATTACACATATAGAACACAATTTTTCATATCTCTGGTTGTACACAAATATATTCACACCTTTCATGTCTCCATACATGTACTTAGGGTAATAATGTCCATCTCATTCCACCACTTTCTTTTATACCACTTGCCCCCTCCCTTCCACTCCCTCGCCTTTTGCCCTATCTAGAGTTTGTCTAATCTTCCCATACTTCCCCTCCCAACCCCACTATGAATCAGCCTCTTTATATGGAAGAAAACATTTGGCATTTGTTTTTTTGGTGATTGGATAATTTTACTTAGCATTATATTTTCCAACTCCATCCATTTACCTGGAAATGCCATAATTTTATTCTCTTTTATTGCTGAGTAATATTCCATTGTATGTATGTGTGTGAGTGTGTGTGTGTGTGTGTATGTATATATATATCACATTTTCTTCTTCTCAGCAAAAGAAACAATCAGTGAGGTGAATAGAGAGCCTATAGCTTGGGAGCAAATTTTTACCACTTGCACATCAGATAAAGCACTAATCTCTAGGGTATATAAAGAACTCAAAAAGCTAAACAACAACAACAAAAAAAACAAGTAACACAATCAATAAATGGGCCAAGAAATGCACAGACACTTCTCAGAAGGTGATATATAATCAATCAACAAATATATGAAAAAATGTTCAACATCTCTAGCAATTAGAGAAATGCAAATCAAAACTACTCTAAGATTTCATCTCACTCCAGTCAGAATGACAGCTATTAAGAATACAAATAACAGTAAGTCTTGTCAAGGATGTGGGGTAAAATGGTGTGGCCAATCAGGTAAGCAGTATGGAAATTCCTTGGAAAACTGGGAGTGGAACCATCTTTTGACCCAGTTTATACCCAAAGGACTTAAAAACATCATACTTCAGGGACACAGC